ACACAGTATTAATGTAAGGCTAAGAACACTCACCGTTTAATGCGTACACAAAGTTAGTGTCTTGTTTTCCGACACAGTACTTGTCTTTTGGTCCACATTTGAGGAAGTCATTTGTTAAGCATTCTTGACTGGGTCCGTCTTGTTTATAAGAGTTTTCAGCGTTAACACCCGACCAACACTCACCTAAGTTCAGAATAGGTTCCACACATTTGTTTTTCGCATTGTTTATATTTCCCCGTCAAAGTCAAATATCCCTAACCTTCAGAGCTTCTCCAGACAGCTTAAGTGTATTCCTTTAAACCACTCTCTAAGACCTGTTTTCTAACTGTGTTTTGCATGATCACGGAGATCCGTGTTGTGTGCAGCTCGTAAACATGTTAAAAAAATTCAAATGTTTTGATCCCAAAAATTTTATAATGCGTCACTACTCTTAAAACTACGAATGTTCCTACGCAACACCCCCCCCCCCCCCCCCCCCCCCCCCCACTATAAAAAAAAACAAACATACTGAAAAAAAAATTATCGAAGGCCTGAGAGAACAAAAACAAAAGTGGGAAAGGAGTGTCAATAATCCCCTCCACCCGATTTTTTTAGTTCAACATTGAGAAAATTATCATATAATAACGAACAATTTTTCACCGAAGAGGAGGTGGAATAGCTCTTATCGGAGTTGAGCACGCGAAATCAGCGGTCTCCGGATGAGCTTACGCCAAAACGAGGCTATCGGGTCTAGCTCGCTCTAAAGTGCAAGGAAGCAGAGAGGGAAATTAGTAGTAGCTTGGTATTTACATAATATTTTCTCGAGTTTTTAGTTTCTTTATCCATGGTGAAACATTGCATAGCTTTTGGGTGTCAAAACCGAAGTTCCAAACCGGAATGCAAGGACTTATCATGGCATTCGCTGCCGCTGTCAAACAAGAATTTGCTGGCACAATGGCTCGTGAAACTGCGTCGAGAGAACACTCCGGTAAACAAAAACTCTTATGTCTGTAGTCAGCATTTTGAAGCTAATTGCTTCATAAAACCAATGGGAGGACAAAGAATTCGCTTGAAGCCAGATTCCGTACCGACAAAGTTTATATTTACTATTGAAAAACCAAAGAGGAAAGAGCCCGCTGATCGAGCAACGTTAAACACAAAGAAAACAAAAATAGAGAAATCGCAGCAGCACTCAGGCCCCGAACCGATAAACATTGAAAACACCGTCCCGTGCGATTTCCAGTTTTTGGATATGACCATGTCGAAACAAACCGAAAGCTTTGCTGCTGACATTCTTGAAGTCTTTGTTGGATTCATTGTCTTTAGCTTTTCTTTCAATAAAGTAAGACACGATATTCTGAATATTAAATGAAGGGACATCGTCCTTCGCGTCAACCAGCGAAACCCATTGTGCAGATCCAGGGAAATCACAATTGACGGTCGCCGTTTGCTCCAGTGGTTTACTTGCCGCCAAGTGTTGCCACTTCTCCGTAAAATTATTCTCCCAACCATTTTTTATATAACTGATGACCCTGCGGCAGGTAAAACAAATCGATATAGAACTTATGCTTCGATATTCCCTTCAAGCAATGGCAATAATTATAAGGGACAAAAAATATTGCAATCTGTGTACCTTTGAGATAACTCAGCCTTCGTTGCTTCAGACCGTGCACTACCATCTTTAGCCGTCCCTTTGCGGAATGACAACCATTCTTTGAGTCTTTCTTTAGTAATATGCCGTGGGCAATTACCACTTATCAACTGCACTTTCTCCTCAGCGGAAAAAAAGGCCGCTTGTGGAAGATTTGTGGAACACTCCATAAGTTTTCCTCACTTTCTCACACAAATCTGATCGATGTTGACCCGATAGCCTCGCTTTGATGTTTACTCACAAGAATACCGCTGGATTGTTTGGGTGGCGTGCTCAACTCCGATAAGGGCCATTTACCGAACTGCGGAGCGGCGAGGTAAAAACTCACCGCTAGCTATTTTAAGTAAGATAATTGAGCAAGAAAAGATTATTTAACTTATTTATTCCTTTAATTTATTTATTCCTTTAATTTATTTATTCCTTATATTATTCCGCGTGCAAATTGTAAGCTGCTCGGAGGTGAATAGCAAAGGATATCAATAGTGTGAATAGCCAATCAAAGCCCGCCTTCGACGCTGTCCACTGTTTTACCACAGACTAAAAGTACAAAGAGTTTGATTGCAACAGCGCGCATTTACCAAAAAATTGTAGTCCAAAGACCTTAAATCCAGACTCCTTTGTCTTTTTAGCACATCTGCAGGCTAGGTCAGTCATGTAGTCGTTCCACCCTTTCCAGTCAATTTTAACACCGCTGTACACCCTCATGCCAGGGTCGCGGTCCGTCATAAGAATTGTCGGTAGGGGGCGAGGATTCATCGAGTCTTTAAAGCAACCTAGTCGGGTAAATTCCGGACAATCTGAAATAAATACGCACAATCTGTTAAGTTAATCATTAAGATTCGTAACATCTTCTTAGGCCAAATTTTCCGGGAAAAAAGCAAGTAGCTTCCAGTAGCATCATTAGTTTAGGCTTGCGCAAGTATTTATTACTTACAGTTACCTGCAGCGCCGAAGACCTTTCTCTGCATCAGTAAGACTATCCATATGGAATAAAGGAACTGTTTGAGGCTCATCCTCGTATTTGCCTAAGGAATGAAATATGAAGAGGGCATTTTTTATTTCCCTTAGTGACAGACACACGCCTATACGTAGCTTGGGTCTTCAAGTTTTGTTTTATTCGATACAAAAGAAAATTAAATGTAATGCTCTAAAAAAGGAAAAAGAAGACAGAGTTCCCTTATTCTCGACTGACCAGCAAAAGGTAGTGGTCGTAAAAGTCGTTGAATAACAGTGGACAGCATTTTCGTCAAAAAATGCAACAGCCTTTTGATGGAGTAACCAATAACATCATCATCATGTAATGGCAGTTAGAGCTGTGAAAGTTCATAATTTAGATGCACGTGTGCTAGCTTGAATTATCGAAAGTATCTAATCGATTAAGTGCATTGTACACGAAACCAAATTCGATTTACATTTTTGACCTTCAACGACCGGTTTCAGTGAGGATATTTGCCCCTTCATTCAAATATCAAGCGCGTAGTTACCACGAAATTTCTGAATTCTTGCAAAGGAATCATGAACATCACTGTAAAATAACGTTGCAGCAACAATGTTGAGAAACTATCGCCATTCTTTCCGTTGGTCGATCCGCTACGGGCTATAACACGGTTCGGAGTCTGAATTTAAAATAGTCAGTTAAAGCTTAAGCTAGCTAACTTTGCGAATTATTATTTAAAGTTTTCGGGAATTTAAATGGTTTTCTTGTTCATAAGTTTTTAATCTTATTACTTACCAATGTTCCTATTGCTCTTTCGAAGATTTTCCAATCCCCTAAATGACCGACTTGATTGCTGTAAGTTAACACCCTACCTGTTATGGGCTTTTAAAAATTTGGTATCTTAATTTATTTGGTGCACAGGAGGTGTGAAATACAAGAACTATTACCGGTCAATTATGGTAATTACCGTCTGGATATCTCTTCTGGAAGAAAAAATCAAGACCCGTCAGAATTGAGATTGATCCCGCTATAAAACTGCAATGCTTTTATTACTAAATATCTAAAATTATTGAATAGCCAATGTACAGAAGTTTTTTATTTTCATTAAGTTTATCGTTTGATAGACGAAGCATGCTTTATTTTTCCAATTTGCCAAGCCTAAGTGTTATTTACTTTACAATACCGTCATAGCATTAAGACTTATTAAAAAATCATAAAGAAACACCGTCAAAAACAATTTAAATGTTTATCATTGGTTTGTTCCTAAAAAAAATATATCAAAGAGATTTTAAAATCACGCCCTCCAAAAACAAATGCTCATTTCCATAAAGCTTCTCGTTCGATTGTAGTCTGGCGCGAGCTGCGAATCTCGGAGTGACATTGAAGCCCCACATCTCCTCACCAGAAATTGTCTTTCATTGAATGAAACTGCAGTAGACGTTCAAAGAGAAAGAGGTAGAAATTAGTCATTCCGCTAAAAACTTTGTCCCCCATCCCCAGAGTTTTGGTAAAAATCCTTCCTTGACTTTCTGTACTTGAAAATTAACTATAGGTGACATCAAATAATATATGCAGTACTGTGCCAAAGTAATACAAACGATCAGAGTCGAATATTGCGTTTTGTTCTTCCGAGATATCGCCGAAATATCGGCTATGTATCACGCGTTTAATCAACACACGAAAACAATAAGTCGAACCTTTCATATATCATTCCAGCGATTTATCGTTTAAGCGACAAAATCGCTTCAACGCGTTACATTATCGCGATGAATCGCTAAAGCGAAGTATCGCTGATGAAGATTTATCAGTGGAGTAAAGGATGCATCACTGCGTTTTATCGTTCAAGCAATATACTTGTACAGCGACTTATTGTTTGGGGATAAAAGTATTTGTTTAAATGAAAATGAGATACCTCAAATTACTCCTTCACTTTCTCAAAAGGGATATAAAACAATTGTATATAATGACCTTCCTTGTCGAAGGTATTTTCGGTGGATTCGGTCCTCTGTACTCTATTAACTATTCTGGTGAAACTTGAGTGGCTCCGTGTAAATTTTCATTTGTTAGGGCTACCTTTCAATATTTCTCCACGCCCGGAAGCAAAAGACGGTTTTTCGTTGATCGATCAACGGACCCACTCTTCCCCTTCTTATCAATTCCAAAACTTACAACACGCGCAAGATTGGGTGATCAACTGTTTATTCTACCTTCAAATCATTTACTTTACAGTACGTTGTACTTAAACCAATTCATTTTATATAACGGAGTTATGGATCTTGAGTTCATTGGGAAGGTTTAGTAAACATTTTAGAACACCCGTGTAGGTAGTAGGTCTAGCCATAAAAAGTAAACAAATTCATACCAACAAAAAATGTTGATTAGAATGATCTCAGATACTTTGCTATTGATCTAAAATACTTTAGATAGCCATCTAATGTAAATCGGAATCTCGGAATTGTCAAAATTTTTTTTACATTTTTGCATTCGATAAGACAGTCAAAATTTGGCTATTTATTATCACATAATGATTAGAATCAATGGCTTCAGGCCTGATAGGAATAACTTTGACGCTTCAGATGAATATCTGAACCCAAGTTCGGGAAATGTAGTTCTTGCCTGGTAGACCTTACATGATATGAAATCAGGAAAAAATCAAAAATTCTTCTCGCTGGAATTTGTTTCTTTGATTCTTTTTGCTCCTGATTTTTTTCTTTTAATTCTTCCCATGATGTTTACGGAAGATGTGGCCAATTTTCGATTGCTTCTCTGGCTTTGGAGCTTCGTGACGCTTCCCGTAAACATAATGCGGCAGACTATGACCATTGCTGCAGCAGTGAGTAGTGCATCCGAAAGGTGCACATGTAATGGGGCAGCCTTCTGGGCATGGAGCTGGATTAATATCATGTGGAGGAGACGGTGTTGGAGCATAGTAGTAAGGGTGGTACTGCTGGCAGCAGCTGGAGTAACAGTGTGGAGCACAGGCAGAGAAACATGGAAGTGGGCAGACTGGAGGGGGAGGTGCCTTGTAACACGCTAACAAACAACCAAGATAGCGATAAGTGTATTTGATAAATTTGAAGTGGATTTTACCACAACTGTTCAATTAATTACTATTTTAAAAAGGAAATGAATAAACACTTTAAACTCAGGCTACAAGTATATGATTTTTCTTTGCAGTGTCACCCCTTGACGTCCAGATCATGAGATAAAGGAAATGATCGCTAACTTAATAAGCTTTATAAATAATCTTCTTTTCAGTACCATGGGAGTGTGAAGAAAATATCAGGGAGAATATTAAAATAATTTCTGGGGATAAAGGGCTGGGAAGCGTGGACGAGTTTAATACGGTCTGATCTTAGCATCAGAAACCTCCCGCTGTAAGAATACTTGGAAAGATGACTTCAGAATAGAGGCTTATAACTTTCTGGAACTATGAAAAAGGTTTGTTCAATCAAATTACAAGTCACCCAGAACATTCTTGCTCTGCAAACTCACCAACTTGACCCAATGATGGGAGAAAAGTGAGCTTGCCCAAAGTTTGACATGCTAATGCCGCAGTTAAGTTATGAAGATGGACTCCCTTGTCTTTAAACTCGATAGCAAAGTGCACCACAATGTTGCTGTCTCCCGGAGCTTCACTGTTTAAAGATAAAAAAGTAACACCTTAATCTCAAAACAATATTAGCATATGAACTGATTTAAACTAAAACATATTTTGTTAATAGTGATGGAATTTTTGCATCGTCAAGTCGTGTGTTTTTAAACATCTCAAGTTTTTAGAATTTGATCCATCGAATTTTTTCTCTCTCTCAATGATCCTGGCCTCTTCTCTATTTACTATGAGTGAGCTACCTGAATCTCAAAGTCGTAACGCCAAGAAAAGGATCATATCCATCGTACGCTTGCAAAACCTGCATTGGAAATGTAATTTTTAGAGAATTAGTTTATATTTTGAATACTTATTATTTTAGAAACCTTAAAAGGCTCCTGGTCTTCGACATTACCTTTCGCAGCGTCATACTTAAAAAGTGTGGCATACTGGCTTGGTCTCACCAGCCTGATTGGTCGTTTTCCCAGGGGTTATTCGAGCTACAATAGCATGAAGCGAACATGGGTGTAGCTACACCTCTGACTCAGAATGCCTGCTAGTCCAACGATAAAGATAAAAGCCCCAGATATTCGTAGAGCTTTCCTACTGATACTCGTTTTTACCCTTGGTTAGTGTTAGGCATCGAAAGGGTAGAGTCTTGCCAAAGATCACAGGAAAATGACCCGGGTTGGACGCCTACCCGTATTTATCGATACAGAAAAGTCTAGCAGCGTGCTAATTATTAAGTCTACATGTAATAAAGTTTTAAGATCCCTTTTGTTGGTCGCGATGATCAGGGCGTAAAATTTTATGATTCGTTTCACCAGTGGGTTTCGTATCAGTAGTAAAGTTAGCTTTCTATTTTTATGATGCGTATTTGCACAACGAGTTTTATAACCAAAGTGTTATTTCGGCCGAAATTAAAATTGCAAGCTTCAATCAAAAGAAAAAATGGCGATATTGAAAGAACATAGGTAAATTTGTTTTGTTGATATTGTGCTATTCCCTTAGACGCATAGACATTAGCAATTTTAAACGATTTCAGTTTCACTCCTAAATTGAGTTGCGTTGTAAAACATTTTTTTTCAACTTCGGATGGTATGTTGCGGAGGGTCCTGTTCGAGTTTTCTTTCTGTTTACAAAAGCTGATAACAAACAAAGGTTTTTAAAACTGGCAGAATCAGCTTTATACTTACTCCAAGTTCAAACTCTCTTCTGAGCTCAATGAATTGGGGCGAATGTGCAAACCATAAGAAATCATCAAAGGAAGTGTTCGTCATCAGTACCGTTAAGTTATACACCTTGCCTGCAAATATGATGCACAACATGAAATAAAACTCACCTTCTGAGACGACAATAGGATTCCCCCGCTTGAAAGTTACTTTTTTCCTCGGTTTGGAAAGGAAATTGGCAAGGCAAGCATTCCACACGAGAATACGCTTTAAAAACAGCCCAAAGAAAACTGGTTTTGCCAATATTTTATCGTATGGCCTCAGCATTAGACCTTTCCTATTAAACCGACTGACGAATACTTTTGAAAAAATGCGATAAGCAGTTTTATCTTACTTACATTCCAAATCGTAGTGATGCTCCGATTTCGGCGATGGACATGAAGCTGTGAATTTAATCACAATCGGTTAATATAATTATATTGCATAAAGTGGTCACCAATTGAGTCACGTTTTTTTTCGAAAAAGTAGTTTCTTTCATGACTTTTTCCCACTTTATGTTCCAACATGCCAATACTTTTTTGGCCTTATCATTAAAAACGCTTGATAATTTTGCAAATACTAATTAAAGAGCAACGCTCAACTAGAGTGCATTGCGGGGTAATTTCTTTCCGTGTCTATCGTCTATTTGCTATGTGTTTTTGTCGTTTCATTCCGTGTTCTAGATAATGAAGCCATCAGGAGTTCGTCCTGCAGAAATAGAAAGCCGCTATAGCATATGGCTTATTAGGTCAATTTTGAAAAGCATGAAATGAGCGCGAGACAGCTTTAGGATTTGACAAGAAAACGAGCATAGAGTTCGCAGATGCCCTGAAAAGAAAAATAAAAGAAAGCTCCTCTCTGCACTTGGGTGAAAGTCAGATGGAGAAACGTTTACAATCGATCGCAAGCCTGATCCCATGCAAGTTCATGAGTGACCTTTTTCTCCAAGTGAAATCAACTTCAGAGATACAATTTACCCAATCTTATATTGATATCCTCTATTCTTTAAGTGTATTTTGAAACACTGTTTTTGTTAAACGTGGAGGGTGATCAACTTGCTTATTGGAGGCATAGCGCTTCTCCTTTTACAAATCTTTTCTTTGTGCCTGGTGAATGATATGAATAAAAATTAAAGTAATCAAAGGTGTCCGTCTCTTTGTAAGGCATCAAGGATGGATTCCCTGTTAAACCTCTCGTTTTCACACTTTTTTTATGTTCAAGAATAAAATTCCTGAGTCTGATATTTCAGCCGTGAATAGTGATTGTATCATGATACAATGTGCTGTTTTGTCATACAAATTCTTCTCTTCCACAGACATAAAACTTTGTAAATATACCTCTTCCAAAGTAGCAGGTTAGTTTTGCACTGAGCAATAATACCCTTATTATCAAAAAAGCAAAAGCTCCTACCATTGTGGTAATAATTGCCGTTTCGTGGGTTTGTCATAAAAAGTATTGAGTTCCCGGATAATAACAATGACAAGGGCACGCAAAGCACACTGGTTGAGTGTGGCTCGTTAACATAGTATGCTATTCAAGCTCATATGGTGTTGACTTTTACAAGTAGTCTTCTTTCAATTTTACTCGGGCCTTGGAATGACAGGTTGGTGTTTTAAATTGACCCGGCAATTAATGATATGTATCCCTTAAAAACTACGTTGAAAACTAACTGTAAGTAACACGTTAGATTGGTTTTTTTCTGAAAATCCCATTGCCCTGTCACGACTGACATTTGCAAAGTACCTTAATTCCCTCAAAATCCTCCAAATCCCCCATCCTCCCCTCCCTCTAGGCGATAAATAAGATTTGGTCCCTTAACACTGGTGAATACCTCCTACAATACATACGTTTCGGTGGAGTGAGAGTATGGTTTTGATTATCTGCAAAGGACATAGATAAAAAATTAGTTTTAAAGTTTTCAAACCTTATTTTTTTTGTTATAAAATACACGCAAAAATGTCCTGCATTCGTTGAAAGGTAACTACTTACAGGTAAAAGCGCTTTTTCTTACCCAGTAATCTATAAACGAAGACTGATTTTTCTTCTCCGACGCAATATTTGTCATCTTTGCCACATGATTTAGAATCAAAGGTTTTGCAATCGAATGCTTGTCCAGCCAGAGGAAATGAGGTTTCAGCATCTTTCCCTGACCAGCAGTATCCTAGGGTTTTGAAGAAGTTCACCAAAGATCGTCAGGTGACATCACGGCACAAGAGCAGCGTATTTGAAATGCATAACCTAGTTTTGATGCCAATTCATAGAAAGGAAAACCTGAGGAGGTAAGAGGGGGCGGGAGGTTCCTTACGGCCTTACTTTCACAGCAGGATCTTAGCTTGTATGACTGAAGTCTAACATACGAAGCGAAATTTAACCAAATAAAAACAAAGCCAAACAAAAGGTCTGTTCCATTCCGCAGCTTTTACGCCTGAGACGAAATACCAACGAAAACAACAACAAATAATGTACAGCTACAACTTAGTTTGTCTTGTTCATTTTGAATATCTATGTATACCCAAGATAGCCTCATCTTAAGATATGAAGAAATGCAAAAAAAACATTTTTGCATAAGTTGACAGAGCTTTTTTTCCAAAAGTGAACCCGGGCGGCTTAGATTAGCCAGGGTAGTCTTTCTTCCTGGACAGGCTCAGGCAGCATGATGCTTTCCAGTAGTGCTTTGAAATTTGTATTCATGCTCAGAAGGTTAGACTTCAACCAAAAAATTTACTGCCGTTACCAGGATATTTTTGGTTAGAGACGCGTATCATAGGAAAAAAAATATCTTGATCATAGAAGAAGATTGTTGGAAATTTTCCTGATTCTGAAGACCTAAGCTGTTGTGATCTGACTTTAATTGATTGAATTAAGAAGTTTGTAAATGAGAGATAAATAAACAACACAAGCAAAAAATAAGATAAATTAAAAAACAAAGAAACAAGGAATAGAACAGAAAAAAAAAGGTCAGGCAAACGAAAAAACAAGAACAACAAAACGACAACATGGAAAAAACAAAATAGACGGTAATGAAAAAGTGGAGAAACAAATGAATGAAAATTTGGGTTTTAGTGGAGTCACACTTATTTATTAATCAATTATCATTTCTGATTCACCTCCTTTTTGGACCGCAAAAACGCGATATCCCTTAAACCTTGTTTGTTCTGCACATTTGCAAATTAACTCATCTATGCTTTGCAAGTTGGAGTCGTTGAACAAAACCTCCGGTATAAGGCGCAAGGCCCCTAAGAAAGCACCGTGGCACCCAAGTCGTTCAAATTCTTCCTGACAGTCCACTGAAAGATATAGTTAAACGTCTGACAAAGATGCAATTAACGGCACTTCATAGTCTAACTTATAGTTGTGCATTGAGTTAGAACGTACAATGTTCGATCTAATGTTCTGAAGAGGTTGGGGTGACGTAACAAATCCTGGAGCGTGTGTAAACTAATCTTTGTCGTTTATTACGTCAGTTTCCGAACTAGTAAGTTTTCTTTCCTATTACTAATAAAAACATTTTATTTTTATAATAATAAAATATTAACCACGTATACTCGGTAAACTCTGGTTGAATACTCTAGTTTGGTCCATTGATGGAAATGCAATGACCTAAATGATGCGCAGACGGGCCTTACCTGCTCATGCTTTTCGTTTAAAATGGTTTTTCTCTTTAATACAGAGCTGAATTGTCATTATTTTTAAATTTGCCTTTCTCAACGACCCAAAATGGAAAACTGGAATGAAGAGTGGCTCAATAGCCCGGAATTAACTGAAATATTCAATAATTGCTGGTAGCAAAATTATGATACAACTTGAACAGGTCACGGGGAAACGCTTACAGGTCTCACAGTTATGTTAGGAATGTTTTCAATCCTCCTCTCGTCTAATAACAATTTGAGATTAAAAACTTCTCCAAACTTCTCCGGCAGGTGTTGCAAGTTTAAACAATCGCGATCAAATAATCGTGCTCGCTCTTTCTATCCTTTTGCTCCTAGGAAAGATGCTTATAATATTGGAGGACGTATTATTCAGTTCAAATGATTTAATGGAATATAACTGCGATATCTGAACACAGATCGTTAGACATACTTACCTGCAGACACTTGTTTGTGTATCAATACAACTATCCAGATGAAGCAGATATAGAGGTTTAATCCTGGAATAGTCTTGGAGAGAAAAATATGCAAACAAATTTTAAGAGAAACGCAAATGACTTACGGCGAACACTTATTTGACGGATATGTCTTACGAATATTGGAGTCAAGAGAAGATGAAGTTTATATATATAAATAAATATTCATGAATATCGCAACTGCTCTTTATTGTTTCTTTCCTAAAACATTGTCACTTACGTTATTGATGTAAGCAATAATGATCAATTCGTCAATTTCCTAAATCATCTGAACGACTCAAGGAATGAACGAAGAAATTAAATATTTATCTAAGTGAGAAGACAGTTATGAAAAGAGGATCCAAGAGGGCTTCCATAATGATCGTCAGATCTGACCTGACATAGTCACATTGCCCTCTTCAGTCAAATTAGCGAAACTAGAGGTGGGCGGAGTAGTTTTAACAACTAATACTTGCCCTCTCCAGTTATCATTAGCAGTTGATACCATCAACTGGATGGCTGATCTTAAGCAAAGGGGTTTAAGAAAATTTACAGAAGAATGAATTCACAAATTCCATTACTGACATAAAAGAAGCGGGTATGAATTTATGCAATGGAGAAAATTGTCAGGAATTAATCTTGAATCTTAGGGACACTTTCGATTAAAAATAAGTATTTACAGATTACTTGCTTTACTCTTCATCGAGTTCGTCTTACGAATAAGAGATTAGCGTTCAAGTTTTAGTTGTGTCAACCATTCTAAAAGGATTAAAAAGGCCAAATATCTCGATATAAAGTATAGCAATAAGAGATATCAGGCTATAAAACAGTGATATTTTTCTTTTTGAATTACTTATCACGTATGTACTTACCATGATAAATGTGTCCTCTCGCCCTTTTCCCCGTTCAGGCTAAACGAAATTAACTTTTCCTTTTTCATCCAACGTGTTATGGTCTTTGCAAAATGTGATCTTTGACATCACTTTGAGGGTACCAGGTGTTAAGTACAAGAAATTACTTCACAAATGGGGATGCCGTCCACGTTGCTTCTTAGATTTCCATAAGTTGAAATGATTTTCATGATTTCGATAACGTTCAATTTCCGAATGAGTAACATTGCATAGGAGTCATTAACAATTTCAGAAAAACATTGACGATACTGATTACGAAAAAGCAGGTATTGCACATGCCGTAATGTATTCTACAAGAACTAAGAGCCTCTCTTCTTAAAAGTATTTTCAGCGCTATAATTTTTCTCTGCGCCTCGTTCATTCATTTGATTTGTCCCCTGAAAATATTAAAAATGAGCAGATGATATTTTTCAGTGTCAAAGTATCGCTGAGACATGCACAGAACACATGAAGACTTGAAGCCTGGTGGCAACCATGCCATGAGGTGAGAAATTGGAATTACATCGACATTTGATAATTTTCCACGGTGAAGATACTTGAGATATCAACATTGAGAGAAGTTGTAGGAATACCTGATCTAATATTTGTAGCTGTTAGTGCTCAAATAAACGTCGTGTTAATCGAAAGATTGCTTTTAACGAGTCAGGTAGTGACAGGTCTTATAGAAGTTACCGTCATAGCTGAAATTTTCCAAAGTTCTTGTGGATTTAATGCATCAGATTTCTCATTGCACCGAAGCAGCCAGTTTTCAAGATAACCATTTCGCTTATGATAAACTAGTATCCGTAAAACGTTTGCCCAGATCGAATCTTAAGACGCCACTTTACTCTAGTAACCAATTTAAGACCGCTTTTTCTTAATGCCTCATCGAAACAAATCAGGAAATGCCTTTTTTAAGATAATAAAGAACGGAAAGAACAATAACGAGGCAATTAATGGGCCTTAGTGGTAATTAATTACTAAGTATGCTTTTAAACTGCAAAGTGAGGCTGTGAGTCAGGTAAAAAACAAACAAACGAAAAACGAAAAAAAGACCTGACAGACCTTTCAACTAAAGGCAGATGATAACGAAGTCAAACATTTCAAACTACGCGCTATTACAAGACACTTAATACCTGCACGTGAAGAAGCACTTCTTTCGGGTAATTTTATAAAGCTGTAATTACTGAAATTTTGTGTTTCAATTTGTCGATTTAAGGAAAAAATGTATATTTCCTGATTGGGCACGCACGATAGAATGATTCTAGAATTAAGCAGTTTCAGACTGTAACAGGTGATAAGATGATTTCTGGAGGGAATCAATGTTTGCTGTTCCAAATTGCACGAAAAAAAGCGATTCGGAATTCTGGTCAAAAGTATATATTTTACCTGGGCCCTTGCATTGAGATCCAATTTTCCTTAATTTCTTGTATTAGAAGTTGTATGAACTCGTCTATGACTGATTTTACCGATTAGTATTGACATTCTTGCATATACTATTCTGTTGTAGTCTCAATTATCGATTAGGCGCGATTCGGCGTGTTTGGGTATAATCATTTTTTTAAGTAAAAACGCATGCAAGAAATAATTCTGCCCACTAGCTTTTATTTGGTTTGATAACGACTGATAGATAACCTCAGGTTCTGTTCCATGAATAGTAATACCATGATTGATAATTTCGTGAACATGCATGCCATACGGGCCATGTGATATAGATGAGCATGAAGTAGTTGCGGGGCCGCCCACCAATCAGGATGGTTGTGCAATTACATAGCGAAAGAAGAAAGGCACAGTGCCGCCTTCATATGGGCATCTTCCACAACAGCATTGAATGCTCATAAAGAGTCGTGGTTTTGATGTGCGTGCGTATTTCAGAAGTGCACACACTGTAGAAAAAATTTTTATTTGAATCTGTCCGTTATGACATATAAATTCTTGCTCAATTGATGTATGCATGCGAGGTCTAAGCGACCTGCGCACTACTTAAAAAAATCGCATCTATTTGCAACGTCATTTACGAGTCACCCGACAGTTCGATCACCTCCACATCTGTGCATGGATCGGCGAATTAGTTTTTCACAAACAAGCTCATAATTCTTGCTTTGAGCCGCTACTGTGGAGATTGAGTACTCTTTGGAGTTTCGCACAATGTTGAAACGATTGCGCAAATTCGTCCCACATATCTCACCTCAAATTGGTGCATCACATCCGGCTCACGTCCTAATGGAAATATACACTTTATCTTTTCAGTGAACATAAACCAAGGAAAGAGCAACTCTATCGAAGTATTTGAAATTAAGGTTATCACAGGTCGCTCTGATAGTTTTAGTCCCAGAGGAACTTGGAGCCGACGCCATTTTTCCGACGAAAGGCTCTTTACTCTTTTTCAATTGGTTATTGAGGTACTCTTGTTACTCTCTGGGGCGTTTTGGTATCGTGGACGATAAATATATGTTCTGCCGCATGGCACAAGTTGTTACATGTGTTTTGGAAGATGCCACGAATATGGAAGATAATATAATCGGCATTTCGAGTACGATTTCAATGCAATTGTTTGCTTTCAAGCAATCATAAATAAGAAACAACTTTGCCTCTTATTTTTTTCTCTGAAGAATTTAAAAAACAGCAACATATTCTTTTGCAAGAAAATTTATTAAAATGTTATCTTTCCTTCCCTATACCTAATTTCCATCAAAGTTGGTTAATATCTTACACTTATTTATTCATTATCTCCTTGTGATTTGGAAAACACCGCCTTTTGAATCAATATCCCTAGACATACCAACTAGATAACTCGATGCATCGTATTATTCAAGAAAGGTTAGTTTATAGTTACACTTAACTTTAAGCTGGTATTGAAGGTGATTTGACGCCTGGCATTCAAAATAAGAGCGTTGGGAAATAAATCAGATTTTCAGAATGAGATAAGACGCCTCTTCCAATCTTTACAAATAAACCTCCATTCCTTGGCTGGAGGGCACTTTTCTTTAGTTACTTTGATTTCATTTCGTTCTTTCAAGGAATTTACTCCACGGTTCTTAAAGACACATAAATCCTTCATTGCGTATCTGCACGAGGATAGTTGTATTATCAATAATGATATAAAACAATAGAACGCAGCATTTAAGAAATGGATCATGTCTTAGTTAGTCTCATCAATGTCAGAGTCATCATTTTCTTCGACATCATCATCTTGTTCATCGTCCTCTGCGTCGTCATCTTCGTCATCAAAATCGTCAGCTTCCTTCGTCGACGATTTCTTGGCAGCTTCTCCTGTTATGCTTTTTTGTCGAACCATGGACCGGCAGCAGAGGGAATTGCATGCTGGAGCGCACCTTGTCGGGCAAGGTGCCGGGCACTGTGGAGGGACTAGTGGGGGTGCTGGAAGTGGAGCAGGTGCTGGTAAAGTCGCTGGACAAATTGATGGATACGATGAGGCTGGTGACATGGGGCATGAGTTCATTCCACAGGGAAGAGGGCAAGGGGACATTGCTGTGGTGCAGGGTGGTGGGTAGCATTCTGACAAACAAATAGTTGAACAAAAATAGTAGGTTATTTGTATTAGAAAAAGAACATTCAAATGATTCAATGTTATTGTAGTAAAATTTTACTCTAACCTGCTTTGACGATGTTACTGGCACCAATTCCTGCCACAAGTTTCTGCAAATGTTGTCCTTGGCAACTGAATTGCAGCATAAGATACACTGTTGATGAACTGAAAAGTGAACGAACAAAACTAGTGTGACAATTGGTTGTGAATACAAAGAAAAAGATTAATATAAAGAACAAAAACCTTCAGGAAAACGTAGTTTTCATTGACTTGTATGTATCAAGTAAGGCTGGAATACCTTGTATTTAGCGTCCTTAAGCAAACGAGGCAAGTGTATCCACGGTAAAGGTTTTTTACCTGAAAAGAGAAATACGGCGAGTAGAGTTATGCCAATCACCTATGTTTAAATTTCAACGTGGTATGTAATTTTCGTCCCATGTCAGTAACAATTCTTGTTTCGTTCCTTGATAACTATTCCAGCACTCTCATCTTCGGCGTTTTCACTCTGTTCTTTCCTGAAAAAACTATTTTTTCTAAGTTTTGTCCATGTAAGCTCTGTTTAAATTTCGTCCCTGCAAAAATGGGTTTCAAAATATTATTATTTAGCTCTTTAAATCCACGCCAAAAATGTTCCGAAACCGCGTTCGTTCAATCAGCATCGGTAAGTTTGCTATAATCTCGCAATTTTTAAGTCGATTAACCCTTCTTTGCCGTTGTCTAAACATAATTAATTTTAAGTACTTACTTTGGCCTCAATGGCTGATTGACCTGATGCCTTTGCAGATGTAGTAGGTGTTGCCACCGTTGGACCTGTAGATTTTCCCGCCACAGTGGGTTTCTTAGAGGGGGTGGGGATAGCTGGTTTGCTTGGGCTACCTGCAGCAGAAGCTTTGATGGCAACCACGTAATTCTGACCTGAACATTGAGAAGGTAACGTCATACATATCGTCTGTAATAACTTTTACATTATCTCCATTTGAATTCCATATATTTCTCTTACAGTCTATAGCTCTAGCTAGCTAAATTAACAATACTGAAAATTGAGGAATGTAGTTGAAGGAAAAAAGATCGCGTGATCGAGGGAAGCAGTAGAATGAGGGACTATTGAGGATCTCAGCGGCACCCAATATTCCCCATGATCTAATCAAATGCTTCGCCTCAAGACCTTGATTCTACTTACAAATCAAAGCGCTTAGTTGGGCGGCGGATCCAGCCTTAGGTTGTGCAGTTGCACCTGTTCCTGCTTTCGTCGTCTTCTTTGTTGTCGGTTTTGTAGTCGGCGTGGTTGGGAGCACTGAAAGTAAGTTTACGATAATCCTTGAATAAATTATGGCTTCATTTGGTTACATTTTGGTATGTTGAATTAATTCATTCTATGCTCATACATTACACTAATTCTAGCGTCATACGCATCTATTGCCATATAAACAAGAGCATACTGGACTTTAGTTAAATGTTCCTTAACTTATCCATCCCACTATCTTCAAGATGCTTTTTTTTTTAAATCGTGATTATGATTGGCCATTGCATTTCTTTTATCCCTAACTAT